TTTCTTTCTTTCCTTCTTTCTTTTTCTTTCTTTCTTTCTTTCTTTCTTTCTTTCTTTCTTTCTCTCTCTCTTTCTTTCTTTCTTTCTCTCTCTCTTTATTCTTTCTTTTTTCTTTCTTTTTCTTTCCTTTCTTGGTAAATATGGTTTTTTTTGGTGCGGGTGAATGTTTTTGTTTTTCATCTGCTGACTTTATTATTTTTTCTTGATATAACTTCTTCTTTCTCCCTGCTTGTCCGTTTTCCACCTTTTCTCTTATTTTCTTCTCTTCTGCCCTCTCTCTCTCCCTCACACACACACACCCTCTCCGCCTCGCTCTCCCTTTCTCCCCAGGTCCTAATGGGTACAGTAGATTTTGATAAAAAGACAAACGAAGCTATCAGTGGGGCTGATGTTGAAGAATGAAGATAATAATGTTTCCATAGGTGGTGCTTCAAATGCCATTATTTCTCACTGAATATTTAAAGAGATCCCTCGGCAAAGATGGATCTGCGCTCTCCTGGGGTGCGAGCGGCTCGCTTCTTCCAGGCCCCCGGGAATGTGTACGGGAGCACGTGCGAATCCCTCACTCACATCCCCCCCCCCCGTCCCACAAACAGGGATCCTCGCACACCCACCAAGCCACACTCCCCCAGGTACACAAACGCGTGTGTGCACTTGCACACTCCTTTCCCGGAATGTGCCGGTGTTTGGAGCCGCCCGCATCCTTCTCTAACAAACTTGACTTCTTGAAAGTAGGGGCGTCCAGGACACCGCATGCGGCCCGGAACCTAGCGGAGCGGGCGGTCCCGCACAGCTTTTCTCCCGATGCGCGTCGCGTGCGCAGCAGGAAGCTCCCGGGAATAGCTTCACACGTGTTTGTTACGTGCTCCACGTGTGATTTAAGACTAAGGGGGGGCAACTTTCCCTGCCCCCCAAAACACCACAACAAATAACGAAACGAAATGAACACATAAAAAGTAGCTTTGCGGTGTTTAATAAAAGAATGGGCGAGCAGAGACGAATACATTTGGGGGATCCAAACTTTAATAACTTTTTTCGTTCTTTTGAGTCCTCGACGGCGTAGAGGCGGGCGTTTCTCTCCGCGCTCGGCGTCCCCCGCTAATTTCTTGTTTGTTTTTTTTCCCTCTATGGCCCCGCGTGAGGAGATGGGAGGTGGAGGAGGGGGGATGGGAGGAGGGGGATGGTCGGAATGGCGGGGAGAGGAGAATTGGTCTTTATTGTTGGTGGCAATACATCAATTACGGGCCATTGTCTCCGTCCCAAGTTCTGTGGTTCGCTGGTGCGGGCGCCGCAGTGTCAGGGCGCTGGCGAGTCTCAGCGTGCCGCGATGCAAAGAAATACTTAAAACAATAAAATCGGAGATAGAGTGGGGGTTAATTTTTATTTTTGTGCAGGTCGAAAGTAGGCAGCGAGCGGGAGTGAGGTGCCACTGCCGGAGTGCCTCCACACGCCCTGCTCACCCGAGAGACCTGCGCGGTTTACGTGCGGTCGCGCCTTCCCAGCCCTGGATGTGGGGGAGGACGACAACTGGGGGAATCCGGATGGCGAAATTCGGACTTGCAGGTTCCTCGAGAGGGCCTGGTACTTAGGGGCTGATCAGCAATAGCGAATGGGGATAGCCCGAAGAGAGGCGGCAGCTGCGCCGGGGTCGCGACCTCACAGGCCGAGAGGAACCGCATCCGGGGGAGGCGCTTGACGAGTTTTGCAAACTCTCATCTTGGGGGATTGATGCTTTTTCCTGCTAATCCGTCCCCTCAGTTTTCCCAAGTCCCACAGTGTCCTTGGTGAGTTGGCGGGGCCGAAGGTCTGTGCCCCAAGGCCGCAGGCCACAACTGGGGTCCCAACCACGGGGTTTCCAGGCTTCTTCGCTCAACCGCTGGTCCTACGAAGGGGAACCGGACGGGGCTGTGGGGGTGTCGAGGCTCTCCATTCTGAGGCCTGGTTCTTCTACCCGCAGAAGTATCTTATTCTGGCCGGATCTGACCTCGGGTCTTGGATGGGGCCTGGGATGAGGCCTTGCCTGGGCTTCAGACCCTCTTTTCCGTTCTGCTAGTGTTGCTTGGCCACCCTACCCCAGACATGGAGGACTCCCCACAGCGCGCTGCCTGCACCCCAGCTTCTTCAATCCCCCGCTCAAGGCACTGCTGGCCCCCGGCCGAGGCTAGGAGGGCAGTAGTGGAGGTTTCGTTTTCTTAAGCCAAGCAAAAAGCGGCGAAAAGGCGGCAGCGGCGCCCCGGGGGCGGGGGAGGAGGCGCATCGATGGTATCAACATTATTGATGGGGAAATGTTCGGGGAAGGAGCCCGGAGATCGTGTTCCCAGTCCCTCCCCTGCCTGGAGGTGGGTGGGACAGAGCGGGTGGTGAGCTGTGTGAGTGCGTGCGTGTGTATGTGTGTGTGTGTGGGGGGGTCCTGAATACACCCGCATTAACCACCTGGGGTTTATTTGTATTTTCCTTGTCTGAAAGTTTGCGGGGCAGAGGTAAGAGGAGGAAGGGTTGAGGTTGCTAGTACCCTCTAGCCCTTAGGGCTCTTTCCTAGGATTGAGATTGGGGTTGGGGTTAGGTCTGGAGGGGGTGCGGGGAGAGAGGGAAAAATGACATAAAACAAATATCAAGTTTGTAAAGCTCTCCATAGATGCGGTTATTTTTCCAAACACCGGGACTTCGCTTCCCCGGGAGTTTCAGAAACTCCTTTCTTACTGAACTGCTGTCACTCAAATCCTAACCTCTCTTCTGACACTGGAGCAGCTTCGAACCCGAGGTCTGGAGCAGGCTCCAGTGAGTACCCCGCCCCTTGCCGAGTCCATGCTGTGCACCCTCGGCGCACTCCCTCTCCAGCAGTTCAGTCCCGGCATCAAAATGCGCTTTTTGGGGGGGACTCTCGCCGCCCACCACCAAGGGCTATCTCCAGACGGGCGCCGGGTGCAGCTCAGTGACCCGGCGCCCTGGCGCCGGCTCCAGCAGAAAACTCAGGGGTGGCAAGCGGAGGGCGGGCTTGGTAACCACCGCACGCGCCCCAGCCAAGAGTCGGGTACTGTCTGCCAGCGGCAAAATTAGTCTTTCTTTGCTTGAAGGGCCGTTCCTACACTGGCATACAGAAACCGACTTCGCTAGCGACTGCAAGTGCTTGCGATTTTGACTTTCTGTCCACATTTGGGCGCCATGCACTTAAGTTCACTGCGCCCCGCATGCAACAGTGCCTCGCCAAGGGCGCCTCTGGATATGAAATTCCTCCCAGTGGAAAGGTCCCGACGTAAAGAAAGTGGAAAAGGCTAATCGAATTTATAAAAGGAAAACCTTTCCTTCCCTTTGGTTAAATCCCTTTGCGGTTTTCTGAGCGTGAAAAAAAAAAACATCACCATGCAATAGAGTGTAGCTAATTCTTGGAACCTAGTAGTGGGATGTTCAGGAAGCCCAGCAGAGCGCACAGATTCCCATCTGCCAGCTCAAATAGAACCTTAGTTAGGATCCAGCGAATAGTGGTTAGTTCCTGTGTCTTCTGTTGGGAATAGGTGTGAGATCTGTGAAGCCCTGTTCTGAGAAAGCGTGGATTTGAAAGAGACTGGTAGTCTGCCAGGAAACTCATTTCATTCGTAAATGAGATCCCCCCCAAACGACCTCCTTATGGAACTCCTGGATGAACTAACTTAGCACATCTCTTGTAACAAAGTTTTGTTTAAAAAAAAAAATTACACTGCCACTTTTTCAGCACAACTTTCATTGTTAAAGAACAGATA